GGGGGGGGCTGAGGGCTGGGTGGAAGTCAGGGGTCCTTGGCAGGAAGTCAGGGGGGCAGCCCCCAAACTGTCCCACTGTAGCTACGGGCCTGGCTTGGGCCATAAGTAGGGAACAGGGATCATCATACACTTGTGGCCCTAGTAGTGTGATTTTTTCCCCTACATGCCTTTTCTTTTTCCTAGGGGCATTTTTACAGAGGGAATCTCTTGCATAATTGCTGGGCTGCTGGGCACGGGTAACGGTTCCACTTCCTCCAGCCCTAACATCGGAGTCTTGGGCATCACTAAGGTACAATATTGCCATATTTGATCATATCTTCTGTTTCTGGGATCTTGCAGGAGCCCTGCTATGTTGGGAGGAGGCACAGGAATAGCTGCTGGTTTGGAACCCAGGAATGGCATAGGGCTACTGGTTTATTGCACCGATATAGGATAAACTGGACTTTTTAATCCTCCAAGTGGGAGGGTTGTGTGTTTGTGTGTGTGTGTGTGGGGGGGTAGCATCCTGGGAGAAAAAAATTAGAAAGGAAATAAGTAAGAAGAAGAGTTGAATTTATACCCCACCCATCACTTGGAGTCTTAGAGTGGCTTACAATCGCCTTCCCTTCCTCTCCCCACAACAGACACCTTGTGAGGTAGGTGGGGCTGAGAGAGTTCTGAGAACTGACTGGCCCAAGGTCACCCAGCTGGGGGGGAAGAGTGGGGAATCAGACCTGGTTCTCCAGATTAGAGTCCACCACTCTTAACCACTACACCAAACTGGCTCTCATCTATTTACAGCTATTTACAGGAAGTTCTTACTATAGAGTTGCTGGTGATTCCTAGAGCTACCTGGAAGTAGAAAGGGTACCTCTCTGTGCAATTTATACTCTAGACAAGAGGCTACTGCCAGGACAGAATATGGAGAAACAGAATGATTTCCAGATGGCAAAGGTGTCAGACAAGGATGTAATTTATCTCCCTATCCGATCTGTATGCAGAACATATCATAAAGAAAGCTGGATTAGATTTAGAGGAAGGTGGAGTGAAATTTGTGGAAGGAACATTAACAATTTGAGATATGCCGGTGACACCACATTACTGGCAGACAGAAGTGAAGACTTGAAACCACTACTGATGAAGGTTAAAGCAGAAAGTGTCAAAGCAGGATTACAGTTGAACAACAGCCAAAGCAGGATTACCGATGAACAACAGGAAGACAACATTAATTACTGAGGAATTACACAACGTTAAGGTTGACAGTGCAGAAATTGAAATTGTTCAAGATTTTCTATTCCTTGGCTCCATCATCAACCAAAAGGGAGACTGCAACCAAGAAATCAGAAGCAGGTTGAGACTGGGAAGGGCAGCTGTGAAGGAACTAGACAAGGCCCTTAAGTGTAAGGACATCTTGCTGGCGACCAAGATCAGGATATATGCATGTGAAAGTTCGACAATGAAGAAAGCTGACAGGAAGGAAGCTGATTCCTTTGAACTACGGTGTTGGGGACGGGTTTTACAGAGACCGTGGACCACGAAAAAGACAAATCAGTGAGTTCCAGATCAAATCAAGCCTGAACTATCCCTAGAAGCTAAAATGACTAAACTGAAGCTATTGTACTTTGGTCACACTATGAGAAGACTAGAGTCACTGGAAAAGACAATAATGCTAGGGAAAGTTGAAGGCAGCAGGAAAATCAATGGATTGACTCAATCAAGGAAGCCACGGCCCTCAGTTTGCAAGACCCGAGTAAAGCTGTGAAAAATAGGACGTTTTGGAAATAATTAATTCATAGGGTCACCCTAAGTTGAAAGTGACTTGATGGCACTTAACATACACCTAGGAATCACCAGGAACTGTATGGTAAAACTGGAAGTTCTTACCATGCAGTTCCTGGCAATTCCTACAGCTACCCACATGGGTAGCTCTAGGAATCTCCAGGAACTCTTTGGTGAGAACTTCCTGTAAGTAGATGAGGCCTTATTATTGTTTTAATTTTTTTCCTGCTGGGGTTTGGCAGCCCAATTCAAGTCCCTTCTAGTTTGGGTCTCTACTCCCTTTGTTTCATTCACATGGCTACCTACCGTAATCACAAGGGTTGCCAAGTCAATTTTTCTTACCGGCAGGGGAGTCTCGACGGGCTCCAGGAGTTGTCTGTTGATGTGCGCGCGCGCGCTGCCAGCACGTCACCGGAAGTGATGTGCGACGTCGATCACGTTGAAGGCGTGGCCCCGACAATCGGGGCCACGCCCCCAATGTGATTGATGTGGTTGCGTCACCTCTGGTGACGCAGCCACACTGCGCTTCGGGGGGCGGAGTTCCCCCTGGGGCCCGATTCTGCGGCAGCGGAAATCGGGCCTCCGAAGCGGGGGTTTACCCGACCCCACTTGGTAGCCCTAGTAATCACTAATGGGTCATCATTGAAATAATCCAGCTGTCTCTTCGTTAAGTAAAACAAAAAGTCCTTTGTGGGGTGCAAGGTGAATGAACTGTCGTATAACATCTTTTGAAACAGCTATTTGTACACTCTTGATCTTTGAGTTATTGCAGCACAGACATTGGTTAGAGTCACACAATGATCTTTTGTAAGGAGCGGCAAACGTCTTCTGTGATGTAGCTTCAGTTATCAGTTATAATCACAGTTTGCAGGATAGCATTAATGTGTCCAACTTGGTAGCGATCAAAAAATGTCTAGGATTTTCTCTAGTCTTAACAGTAATGTTTTCTTCTCACACACTTCAGTGCTGCATAAAAAGTGTGCCAAAGAAGTAAGGAGCTGTGGTTCATCCACAGCAAAATCCCAAAAAACATAATTTATTAAACCCAACCAAAATAACATAGCACAGTGTGCAAGCTTTTGAGTTCTCCAGAGCTCTTTCTTACCCAAAATCTTTACCCCCCTATATGTACTATCTTACCATCCCATGTTATTGCAGAGCCTTTGTGTTTGCAAGACTGAACATTATACCTACAAGGGTTTTGCAAGGGAGATTTTTGAATAGGCCACGCACTGACAGAACTTGGCCTTAACAGGATTGATACATCCTTTCACGTCCTGCTGGAATGCAGATTTTTTGAGATTATGAGGGATCACTGTATTAAGCCATTATTCAACCAATTGTCTGCCTATACTCCAGAAACCCTGGCTCTTTTGCTCACTGATAAGGATCCTAAGATCGCTCTAGCAATCGCAAAATTTGTCTCAGTCCTTCTAGCCCTTGCATCTAAAAAATAAGAAATAAGTGTTTTCTGCTGCTCAAGATTCCATCAGTCTGAATGTTAAAAAAGCGGGGTAGGATAACGGCTGAAGATCTTCCTCCCCAGTGATTTGGGATGATCAGTTTTGGGAATAATTTTGTTTTAATTGACTCTACTTAACCATCAGAGAGGTGGGAATATTGGTTTCTGTTACAGTAATTTTAGATAACTCAGTGAAAGTTAAAAGCTGTATATTTGCCAGATATTATATAAAAGCAGCCAGCCTTCTGTCATGAGAGATTTAGAGTCTAACCAGAGAATGACAGACAAATAAGTAGATGCAATGTGGAGTTGCCAGGTCCGGCCTCGTCCCCAGCGGGGGACTTTGGGGGGAGCATTCCTGGAGGGAGTGGAGCATCCCCAATGCAATGATGTCACGTTGGGGACATCCCTGCCCCAAGCCCCGCCCCCAGCAATGATCACCCGCAACCACTCCTCTCCCTCCCCTCTGCAAGATTTAAAGGGCCCTCCAGCTGATCAGCGGGCCATGTGCTCTCTCAGTCAGCTGGAGAGCCCTTTAAATCTCTCAGGAGAGGAGGGAGAGAGGTGGCTATGGGTGGTCGGGCATGGGAGTGGGGCTTCCCCTGTTGGCCAGCTGGCCGGCGGCAGGCTGAAGCCCCCAAAATTGTGGTAACCCCTGCCTGGACCAGGGGTCTGGCAAACCTAATGCAACCGGGAGGGGGGGAATTGGTATTAAAAATTGGGTGCTGGTATTAATCTTTGAAGCCCTTAATGGTCCCGCCTAAAGGACCGCCTTGCCTGTTATGACCTCTTGTGAAGTCTTTGTTCCGCCGTACGTGGGCATTTGGCAGCGCCTGGCCCTCCATTCACCCATTTGAATGTGACAAGGGCACGGGCCTTTTCCATCATGGCCACTGACCTGGTGGGATGCTTTGTTTGAGGGGACTTGTGCCATCCAGGACCTATCTGCATTCTGCAGGGCATGAAGGACAGAGTATTGTAATTTTGGGGGACTCTACCATCAGCACTATTGATTTTCATGCCAAAAGCGTCAGTTTGTGGTGTGTTGAGTTTTTAACTGGATTTTATTGAAATTATGGTTTTTTCCATTGTTATTGTATTGTTATGCTGTTAGTTGTCCTGATCCCCATGTTCTGGGGGAGGGGCAGGATAAACATCTAAACAAATAAATACATAAGGATCCAAAACCTATAACACTAATATTCTGGATGTCTGAGTAAGTCATTTCCTTTGGCCACCTTTCCCATGCAGGTGGGCAGCAGAAGGGTGGTGCAGTATGGTGCTGGCATCATGCTTGTTCTGGGCACCATTGGCAAGTTCACGGCACTGTTTGCTTCTCTCCCCGACCCCATCCTCGGAGGAATGTTCTGCACCTTGTTCGGTAAGTTTACTCTGTCCAAATGGTGGTGGAAAGTGCAGTCAAGTCAAGTGCTGATTTATGGCAAGTCCGTAGGGTTTTCAAGGCATGAGATGTTGAGGTGGTCTGCCGTTGCCTGCCCCTGGATAGCAACCCTGGACATACTTGGAGTTTTCCCATCCAAACACTAACCAGGGCTGACCCTACTTAGAATCATAGGATCATAGAGTTGGAAGGGACCTCTAGGGTCATCTAATCCAACCCCCTGCACAATGCAGGAAATTCACAAATACCTCCCCCCCCACACCCCCAGTGACCCTTGTTCCATGCCCAGAAGATGACAAAATCTGTGATTTGACAAGATCGGGCTAACCTGGGCCAAATCTGTCCAAATGCTCTATTGCAAATAAACATCTCAGCACTAGCACAGTTGCTTACGCCCTGGTGGGAATCACATTTGGCATGATTTGTGAGCTTCTAAGAGCTGCGGTGGCTCAAGTGGTTAAGACGCTGAACTGCAGGCTGTGGAAGGTCAGTAGTTCAGCATTTCGAGACCCGGGTGCCGCATGATGGAGTGAGCTTCCCATCTCTAGTTCCAGCTCCTGCCAACCTACTGTGTTTCCCTGAAAATAAGACACTGTCTTATATTTATTTTTTCTCAAGAAGACACACTAGGGCTTATACCACAAATGCATAGAAATCCTGCTAGGGCTTATTTTTGGGGTAGGTCTTATTTTCGGGGAAACAGGGTAGCAGTTCGAAAGGAAGAAATTGCAAACAGATAAATAGGTACCACTTTGGTGGGAAGGTAACAGCGTTCCGTGCGCCTTGGTGTTTACTCATGCCGGCCACATGACCACGGAAACGTCTTCCGACAGCGCTGGCTCTTTGGCTTTGAAATGGAGATGAGCACCGCAACCCTAGAGTCGGACTCGACTGGCTTTCGAGCAAGGGAACCTTTACCTTTAAGAGACCATAATAGCTGTTTCGGAAACCTGACAAGAAAAGGTTTCCAGCCCTCATGATGATCGGAGAAAATATGAAGATGTCAATGACATTCAAAATAACGTATCTCTGACTTGGTGTGGTCCAAAGAGAACCAAGAGATGGCCTGAAGCATCGTGTAGTAGACAGTGGAGGATATCAGGCAACCAGTTCCAGCCCCAGGTGTCTCCGGTTAAAAGGGTAAAGTAGGAAATAATGAGAAAGACCTTGGAAGGCCACTGCCGGTCAGAGTGGACCTGACTAGACCAGTGGGCTGACTCAGTGTAAGGCAGCTTCATGTGTTCACACGGAGTGGTGTTCAACATCTGTGCTCCCCAGGTGCTGTGGACCTGCCACGGTTCCTGGATCTCCATTCGGCACCGATAAAAGAGTGAGTCTCCCCGCCTTTCCTTTTTTTGTAGGTATGATCACGGCCGTGGGGCTCTCCAACCTGCAGTTTGTGGATATGAACTCCTCCCGCAACCTGTTTGTTCTGGGCTTTGCAATGTTTTTTGGGCTCACGCTTCCAAACTACTTGGATTCCCATGCAAATGCCATCAGTACAGGTAACAGAAAAGTCACGGCAACTTTTGCCTAGTCTGGGGATGACGACAACCGCAGCTGAATTCTTGCTTTGACTTCTAACGGAAGCAGCTCTCAGGAGCTGGAGTCTATGCCTGAGAAAAATGACCTTGTGGCTCCTAATATTTCATTATTTATTTATTTATTTCCATTTCTATCCCGCCCTCCCCGCACGCAGGCTCATTATTTCTTGCGAATTTGGCTTTTGCATGAAGATCCCTGGCAAACATAAAAGTTTTGTTGGCATAGAACCTCCAGGCACAATGCGGGAAATAGCTCCCCCACACACCCCCCCAGGGACCCCTGCTCCATGCCCAGAAGATGGCAACTTTCCCCTCCAGGACCCCCGGCCAAATTGGCCTGGAGAAAATTGCTTCCTGACCCCAAAGTGGCGATCGGCATTTCCCTGGGCGTGTCAGAAAGGGCCACGAGAACTAAGCACTAAGGCAACCCTTCCTGCCCTCCCTTTCATGATCTGCCTAAGTTCACAGAATCAGCATTGCTGTCAGATGGCCATCTAGCCTCTGCTTAAAAACCTCCAAAGAAGGAGAGCCCACCACCTCCCGAGGAAGCCTGTTCCACCAAGGAACCGCTGTGTCAAGACGTTCTTCCCAATGTTTAGCCAAAAACTCTTGATTTAATTTCAACCCACTGATTCTGGTCTGACCTTCTGGGGCAACAGAAAACAACTCCGCACCATCTTCTCTGTGACAGACCTTCAAGTACTTGAAGATGGTTATCGTATCACCTCTCAGTCATCTCCTTTCCAGGCTAAACATCCCCAGCTCTTTCAACCTTCCCTCATAAAACTTGGTCTCTGGTCATGACAGTCACATTATGTTCTGCTTCTCGATTAGTATTGTTTCTCCTTTTAAAACAGGGCTTGCCTTTTAAGGGCCTGTGTCTTTATTTTTAGAAGCAGGGCTATTTTTGGGCAGGAACGCACATGAACGGAGTTCCGGCTGGCTCCCAAGTTGGCCACGCCCATCAGGAACTCATTAGCATAATAGGCCACACCCAACAGCAGAAACTCATTAGGATTGGCTACATTAGGGGGTGTGTGGCCTAACATGCAAAGGAGTTCCTGCTACAAAAAAGGCCCTGGGTTTTGACAACAAACAAGGTAAACAGAATAACAAGCAAAAGGTGGGTGTGGCTGGATAACCACACTTCTGGTAACATGGGGGTGCATCCGAATGTGCTAATGAGCTGTGCTGGCAGGGGTGTGGCCTAATATGCTCATGAGTTTCTGGTGTTGGGTGTGGCCTATTATGCTAATGAGTTCCTGCTGGGCTTTTTCTACAAAAAGAGCCCTGTTTAGAAGCATTTCCACCCTGTGCTGTTTACCTGTGAGTAGGGTACCAGCGTACACTGACACGAGTGATTGTTTGAAACTCGGTTCTTTTTATGGAAGGAACCGCAGCTCACGGGGAGAGCACAGGCTTTGTATGTAGAAGGTCCCAGGCTCAATCCCTGACATCGCCAGTCAAAGGCATCTAGTAGTAAGTAGGCGTTGGGGGAAGGGATGAGCCCTTGTACAGTTGCTGCCTGTCAGAGTAGGCCTTTCTAGACTGATGGTATGACTCAGCATACAGCAGCTTCATGTGTGTACTTTTCCTGTTACGACTTGTGTCCATCTCTGGGACTCTGCAGTTTGGGAGAGATGATTAAAGAGGAGGGCGACCACGATGGAGGTTTCTATCATTATTCACAGGGTAGAGAGAGTAGACCGAGATAACTTTTTCTCCCTCTCCCCACTACCACCACGATCACCACTACCATCACCAGCAGCAATTGACACCCTGATCCGCTGGTCCCTTTAATCATTGCCTGAGCCAAACCCCCGAAAACAACTGAAGCTGACCAATGGAGCTGACGTTAAAAGTGAAGAACTGGGCTAGCACTTTATTATGATGTTTTGGTTTTAACACTGTGTTTATATTAACTGTTGTTGTGTTTTTATATGTATTGTTGGAATTCTTACCCTGTCCTGTAAGTCGCCCTGAGCTGGCCTTGGCCGGAATAAATTAAATAAATCAAATCAAATCAATTTCAGTGGCTACTAGCCATGGAAACTAAAGACAGCAGCCTCCACATTCAGAGGCAGTAAACCTCTGTGTCCCAGGGCCAGGAGGCAACATCAGGGGAAGGCCTCAGCCTCTATGCCCTGTTATGGGCCCTCCAGAGGAACTAGTTGGCCACTGTGTAAGACGGGATACTGGACTAGGTGGACCACTGGTCTGATCCAGGCGGGCTTTTCTTATGGTCTTATGTTCTCTTTCAGGCATTGCTGAAGTAGACCAGATATTAACAGTGCTGTTAACCACAGAAATGTTTGTTGGAGGTAGCATCGCATTCATACTGGACAACACAATTCCAGGTACAGCTATTTTAGTGCCTTGCAGCGTGTTTGTTTCGTGTCTCGATCCATCACATTCTAGTCCAGTGCTCTAGTCCACTGAAGGGACTTTTGCAGGTGAAGCTCCGTTTCTCTGAGAGAGTCTGCATTTATTCATTTAACAGATTTCTCTGCCACATTGCCTATAAAAGCTAAAAGTGGTTCCCAGATTTAAAGGGAAACCTGTTTACAAATTAAAACATGATCGGCTCCTAGAAGAGCCTGTGGAAAGCCAGCGAGTCAACCAAAAGGCTGTTCTACTGAACTACACAAGGGAAGGGACCACTTTCACATTATTTTGCAGCCCATTCCAAAGGGTTGGAGCTGCCATGGATGTCATGCTTGTCTGGCTGTCTTCCCTTCGCTTAGAGAAAGAATCGAAAGCAGGTCCTGTTGAGGAGCATGTAGGTTCCACCCGGGTTCACATGGGGAGCAGCGGATCTCCAAGTAAGTGCGTTCCAGTCCGTAAAGGGATTTAATGATCAAAAGCAGCACCTTGAATGAGGACTGAAACCAAACTGGTAGCCAGTGCGGTCAATCCAACGTTACCGTACTATGGCTGATCCAGCTGACTCCTGCCAACAAACATGCTGCTGCATCCTAAGCCAACTGTAGATTCCACATCATCTTCAAGGGCAACCCCACACAGTGTACATTGAAGTAATCTAGTCTTGAGGTTACAGTAGTATCAGTTATGGGAGTTTTAATGCAGTAAATACATATTTGCCATTTGTTTGTATTGGGTAGAATCTTCTACCACGGTTTTAGATAACGATTTGCGAATTGTGCTAATTAGTGGGCCATTTATAGGACTGGCTTTGGAGACCTGTGTTCCTGTCATTATGGTCTTGGCATAATTTAACTGCCTGTACCTACCATCGAAAAAAGGCACCATTTTAGGTTCAGCATTAGCAAAACAGAAACGAATCTTAGTGCCTTAGTAACAAATTAACAGAAACCATTTATTTTGTTGCTTTGATTCCAGTCTTCATTCCAAACTCATCTGGTTTCATGCCAATCTTTATTCCTTCCCAGGGACTCAAGAGGAACGCGGTCTCGTGCAGTGGAAAGCTGGAGCGCATGCCAACAGTGAAACATCTGCGAATCTAAAGAGTTATGATTTTCCATTTGGTATGGGACTGGTTAGAAGCAGCCAGTGGTTGAAGTATGTGCCAGTCTGTCCAGTTTTCAAGGGCTTTAAGTCAAGGCCGAAGATGGATGCCAGCGTATCAGACCACATACCTAACACGAATGACATCCTGGTCGTATGCTCCAGGGTTTGAAAAGACTCCTTGTAAAGAGCCATGGAGAATTAGACAACCAAGGAAAACCATTGGTGAGAAGGAGAGTGTGTGACGTTCCTGTATATTTCTAATGTGTCCTCCATATGGAGAAACTAGTCAGAAAATCAGGATTCATGACTGAACTGTGTAGGAGAACTCGTGCGGCTGATGAACACTGCTCTCGCACCATTTTTATACCAGGAGTTAAAAGACAGTAGCAAAAATTTAACTCAGAGCCATTCTATACATTGAGTGCTGTGAAGAAAACCTTATTCGCAGGAAGGGTCCCCCCCTTTTGAATGTTGCATATCCAGTAAGACCGTTAAAGAAATATATTTGTGCACCAGACAAGTGACAGTGGTTTAACATTAGCGGGCCACTAGAAAGACTGCATCTTGTCCAGGTGTTTTTTTTTTAAATCTGGACACCCAGTCATCATTATGCAAATATAGTTGCTCTACATTTATTTCGATTTCATATTTTTATTCTGCTTTTATGATTGATGTTTCAGCAATCTGGACCTTTTTGTTGCTGCAAGAATAGATGCAACAGATGGGGGGGGCAGTCTCTTCAGTTGCATTTTCAAGCGTCTTTTCAGAACCACAAGGACTGGGTTTTTATCAGCTTTAAAAAAATAATACTCAAGACACCAGGTTGTGTTTCTACAACCAAACTTTGTGCTGTTACTGAACATGCAGAATACACACCAAGGCAACCTTGGCTTCACACACTCCAATTCAAAATTTGGGATTTTTCTGGCAAGGGTAGCACAAGCCACAGAAGTGGGCCTGTACGGCACCATGCAAGAAGCCACGCGTGGTTCAGCTGGACTGTAGCTCTTGCAGAAAGACAGGTCAGGACCCAAAAACGGATGTGTCTCTGGAGTCCAACTTCTGTGTGAAATTCCAAAGGAAGATCTTTATATAAACAGTTCAGAAGAACCCTACCCTACGGCACCAATATAACCTGATACCAATACACACTTTTGGGAAGAAGGGTCCAGTTAGCTAAACGATGCTGTTACCAAGGCAACCCAAATGCACTGCAAAGTGTGTCACTAACAAAACGTTTCTAACTTCAGTTCTGATCTTCCTGTTTATTAGTGAGGTGTACTTTTTAATAGCTGGCACACATCACATTCCTGTTTGCTAAGGTGCTTCACAAGCAGAAAATCTATTTCCCAACTTTGTGGGAAATACACTTCGCTGACAGAAATAAGCTTTCATCAAGTATAGCAAGACTAGTGGAGTCACCACTGGTGCAAGAGATACAAAGGCTTGCAATATGGCCAGCCATTAAGGAGCTTTGCAGACATTCCAATTATGAACAGGAACGTTCAGGAAAGCTGATGTACTGTAGAATAAATCGGGAGTCTGGTAGCATTATAAAGACTAACAACATTTTCCACGAAAGCTTATACCTTGAATAAAACTTGGGGTGGTCTGAGAGGTGACACTGGACTCAAACTTTGTTCTGCTCCTTCAGACCAGCACGGCTGCTCACCTGGACATTTTCCAGGGTATAAGCTTTTGTGAATCAAGGCTCACTTTTGTCAGATACAAATGAGAACGAAGATCCACCTGCCCTTATATGTAGTTCAGAAGGTGGGTGGGGTGTTGCAAAGAACTGGCTGTTTCTAACACCCCTCCCACCGTCTGATCTGGAAATGAGGGCTGATGAATCCATTCTGGTGCATTTGACAGAAGTGAGCCTCAACCCATGAAAGCTTTATGCCCTGGGAAAGTTTGCCAGTTTTCACAGTGCAACCGGACCTAAATTTTATTCTACTGCTGCAGTCTAACTTGGTTACCCACCTGATGCGATCATGATGTAATTTAGTGGCTGAAACTGAAGTAACAATCCTTTGCGCACTTACTTGAGAAGAAGTTCTATTATAGTCAATGAAAAATATCCCAGAATTAGGCTGACAGCTATGAACCAGGAAGTCCTTGATGCAAATCTTAGCTCTCCTACGAACTCACTAAGTGTTCCTACGCAAGTTATCTGCCAGTCTCCACATCTGCTATATGGGAATCACTTACAGGTTTACAGTTACAAGGCCAAACGTTCCGTCATTTAAAAGGGCTACTGAAGTACTTATTGTTACCTACTTTTCGTTGATGGATTCAAGTTAATAAAAACTCTTTTATCTTAAAACTGAGTTGCTATGAGAAGCTCACATAAATTGATTAGGTTGGGCAGACAGGGACCATTTTCTTAAGTGCCTACAATACCACGACCTACATATGTTTTTTTTTGATAATACAGCAATGCACCTTGCTTAGAACTGGAACTTCCAGGGCCCACTCTGAAGGTGCAACGGTTTCACCATTCTACACTAAGCAACCACTTATTCTTGGGAAAAAGCCAGCCTCATTGTTATTCTACACAATGGGTATCGTAATGAAAATTCAGGATTGAAAAGGTGCATGAATAATGACTGGAATCCGCTGTAGCTGGATGCTGGGAGGGGGATATTAAGAAGCATAAGTGATCACAAGTGATGTGACGGCTTGCCCGGCCTTTACTTAAAACAGCCTTTATTTTAAAACCAAGAGCAGTGTTCCCTCTAAACTAGCTCACAGTTTTTTAGTCTCCAGCTCACACATATTTGTCTACGCTCAGGACGGATGGCCCCAGAGCAGACTTATCTATGGAGAAGCCAAATCGCTTGGCTCACAACTTTAATGCCAAAGTAGAATTTTTGCTCACAAGACTCCACAGCTTAGAGGGAGTATTAGAGACCAAACTGCTAACTGACACAGCTTACGAGGAACATAGCTCCACTTTGCCTACTAAGTTTGCTTACTGTAATACTGAACGACTTGGGAAGCGACCAACATAACTGATCCTGTACAGGAAACATTTTTGCCACCCTATCGGATAGGCCAAGAACTTCAATGGATTTACTGGCCCATAGCTGAGTGTGGGACTGAGGCCAGTCAGCCTTTGAGGAAAGTAAGGAAAACCAGCTTAATGGGCAAAAGCGGCTGGTGTTGTTGGCCATTTTTGTACGGCAACACCGTTAAAAAGGGCAAGCCAACGAGAAGCGATTCCACACCTAGTTTGATCCCGCCTACTGTCAACAGCATCCATTGCGTCCCTTCCTCGAGCCGAGCCCGTCGCCCTCTCCTCCCAAAGGCACCCAAAACGCAATCGGAACAAGATGGAACACTCAGGAGATCGCCGAGGAGTCGTTTCTACTATTATTTATTTTTTTAAATATTTTTGAAAAAATATAATTTTTTACAATATTTTCAACTTAAACACTATTCACACTGAACACGTATGGCAGCTCGCGCTACCCCAAATATGAAGTTTATGAAGCCAAAACTGTTCTAGCTGTATTTGCTTTCCTTTAAAAAAAAGTTGTGCTGTAGACTACTGGGTGTGTAGTGATGATTAAACAAAGCAAGGGGAAAGCACCACTCAGATCACTAATGCTAACGTTTTACAGGTAAACCCAACGCTTTTTAAGGTTGCAGATTTATTTTTTACATAGGCAGTGCCACAGTTTCTGGATTCCTGGAAGAGATTGTGATGCACAACCTCTCGTCACAACCTCTGCTATGAATTCAGAAGTGGGACAGACAGACACTCCGACATGATCGCTTGCCGCGGACAACGACCTCGTCTGCCAGTCGTTTCCGCCCACCCTGCTCCCCGGCCAGATTTGTATAGCCGAGGTAACGAACTCTGCACAGTCTGTCAAAAGCAAGTGTCAGGTATAATACACTATTGGCGCCCTTCTCAAAAAAAAAGAAGAAGAGCGTGACGTTTCGCCTGGTAGTGGGACGAGTTAGTAGCAGGACTGCCGTTCAGCTAATCTGCATAATCAGATAACCTTGCTTTTAACTGTCATGTTAAGGCATGTGGGGTGCTTCGCGACACCAACTCTTTATCCTTTTGTTAAAAACAGACCACTTTTTTTTGGTCAAAGTCTGAATCCTCTTCGAGACACATTTTTCGCAAGAGCTTCTCAAAAAACTTGGTACTTTTCTCCACTTGACTGGTGCCTTCCTACCTCACTGTCTCCCTTTGCAAAAAAAAAAATATTAAAAAAAATAAAAGCCTGGGTCCAAATGCAATGTTTCCTCTTTTTTCTCCATTTCATTAACCTCTGACAGCGATTGACTTAATAACAGTCTCAGCACTTTTATTAAGCATGCAAGACTAACAAAACTTTGGCAATGCGTAAGTGTAACACAGTGACGAGAAGAGAGAGCGTTTTAACAATTAAATCTTCTAATACTGGCTTCACAGTGTGGAAATTGTGCTACATCCACCAAGAGGGCCCAGTCTACTCATATATTTAGTACTTCACCCCAGGAACAAACTCCTTTGCGTTTGGATTGAGATTACTCTTGACCTGGGGGAGGGAAAATAAAAGAGGTTAGACGCGGGATAGAGAACCCCAAAGTGTGCCTTTCGTATTCCAGATTCAGATCTGCAAACAGAGCTGCGCAGAGTGAGCAAAACCCACCACAACCCCCCCCCCCAAGGAAACCATGGCTACTGAGGAGCATCCATTTTAAATCTTTCAATAAAAGCACTCCCTCCCAAAGCCAAAAGGAAACACTGTGATGCAAAGAACTGCACAGGGACTCTCTGGCTCTGGATGGCTCAGTGATGAGAACGCTCAACCCAATATTGCAAGTATCTATTAAAATCCCAGTTCTTCCTTTTGGAAGGGGGCAGAAATATTCGACAAGTTCCACTCTCGCCAAGAGTGCCTTGAACTTTTTGGAACCAGGCCTACAATCCACAGCTCTGGCCTGCCAACAATGGGGAGGCTTAAACGGCGTACGTGGGTTTATAATCACTAGATATCCCATTCCATGCCACCAGTTTTTAGCCACTGTTCCTGGTTCTGAACAACTATTTCCCCTCTCCCCAATGGAGCCCTTCAACCTATGTGGCTTTTAGTCCACATGGGTCCCACAACCCTCAAAACTCTACCTTGCGGAGGTCAGAAAGGGCTGCTAAGGGGAAGGGAATGT